TTACCATAGGGTTAATTATATCTCCTGAAAAGTAGATTTCTTTTTGATCAAAGGATTACATTTAATAACTTATTCTCATCAGTGGCATTCTGTTAGTCAAAAGTGCATATGGTCCATAAAGTTACTGCAGCTGTTCTGTGTCCTGCAAGAACTGTGGTGGGCAGGTTGTGGAAGGTGATGGGGGGTTTGGGGTGCTGTTGGGAGATGGCAGGGGTAGTGATTAGACTGAGTGGGAACACAGGGAGACATGACAGCTGCTGCAATTTTGTATGTTGGGCATTTTCCTTATGACTTTGGGGGCTTGGGGGGAAGGTCCAGTGCCTTTAAGCAGTGGTGGTGAGGACAGTGTAGCATCAGGGAGTATTTATGAGTCATTTCCAAGTTACGGTGTTAGGCTTCAAATGCTCTAAAAGGTTTATAAGCTATTGTTTCTTGACACATCACTCTTCCTTTTTCTTTTTTTGGTTTCCTTACCTATCTTAGTGGCTACTGTCTGTTCTCTCTGCTGTTTCTTCCTCCTTCTCTGCTGCTCCAGTCTTGGGGAGCATCATGGCTCCATCCTTGGTTTCTTCTTTTTCCTTCTGTCTGTGTTCTCTTCAGTTTATAATCTCTGTCAGTTTTATGGTTTTAAGTGCCATCTTCTACATTATGACACTCAAAGTCTTTACCTCCAGGCCTAGCCTCTCTACATACCTGTCTGTCCATTAGAAGTTTTTACTTGGTAACCAGTAGGCTGTCTTGTGTTATTCAGATTTCTGTTGCTGTGACCAAATACCTGAGATAATCAATTTAGATGGAGGAAAGGTTTATTTTGGTTCACAGTTTCAGAGGTTCCTATCTGTGGTCACTTGGTCCTGTTGTTTTGGGCCTGTGGCAGCATAGTACATCATTGTGTGAGCTCATGACGGAGGAGGTCTGTTCACCTCATGGTGGCAGGGGAAATAAAGAGAGGAAGGGACTGGGGTCCCCTATCACCTTCAAGGACACACCTCCAGTGACCTAACTTCCTTCCACTAGGCCCTGCCTTTTAAAGGTTCTGCCATCTCCCAGTACACCACAGGCTGGCAACCAGTCCTTCAGGCACTAGCCTTTGGAGGCCACTTCCAAACTATAGAAACTTCTAACATCTTGTCCAAAACTGAACTCCCTAAAACTTACTCATTCTTCAGTCTTCCCTTTCTTTTTCTTTCTCTTCTCCCTTTTCCCCTCTAGTTCGTCAGCAAATCCTGAAGTTGGTCCAGAATTTGGCTACGTTTCCTCACTTTTGTCACTACCGTTTTGGGGCAAGCCACCCTGGTCTCTCACCTCCTTCCAGCCTTTTCCCCTTGTCCTGTATTTCTCAACACAAATACCACTGAAACCTGTTTTTACTTTCAGTTCCATGATGCACTTCCCTCTGGTGGTTTCTCATTGTATTTGTAGTAAAATCTGAAGTCCTAAAAAATGATTGAATAAATATACATATATAGGGTGGAATAGACAGACAGACTTTATAGATGAGTTCTAAGTAATTTGGATAGCATAATTCTGTACAGCTTGCTTGAGTGTGACTTCCTTCCAAAGAATACAATACAAGAAGTGGGGCGGGAGGAGGAGGAATATCTTGACTATGGAGAAACCTGGCAGACAGCATCTCAGTCAAAGGAGGTCAGTGTCAACGTTGCTAAGTCATGTTGATATGATGTGAGGAAAATGACTTGACACTTCCTGTGATCCTCTCCACAACCAAGCCCAGTCTAATTATGGAGAAACATCAGACAAATTCCAGTTGAGGGACGTTTTGCCTGAGGAATCCTTCCTTCCTTCTTAGGTACTTGGGTTTGAACTCAGAGCCTTGCACTTGCTAGGCAGGTCCTCTGCCACATCCCTTACCCCCCTTTTTTTTTATTTTCAGGTAGGGTCTCCCCTTTTTTTCCTTTGGGACCATCAGACTGTGATCCTCCTGCCCGTGGCTCCTGCTTAGCTGGGTTAATTGGTAGAGATGGGTCTTGCTAACTTTTGGCCCTGGCTGTCTTTAGCCACAATCCTCTCCATCTCTGCTTCCCTGTCTCCTCAGTAGCTGTAATAACAGACATAAGTGAGCCACCATGCCTGGACTGCCTGAGAAACTTTCTGCAAAATGCCTGAGTACTTTTCAAAACTGTCAAGGTTGTTAGAAACAAGGAAAGTGAGAAACCTGCAGTCCAGAGAAGTCCAAAGAGACATGGCAACCAAATGTGCTGTGGTGTTTTGTATGGGATCCTGGACTGGAGAAAGGACAGTAGGTACAATCTAAGGAAATCTGAATTAAGTAGGGACTTTAGGTAATATAAAGATAATGATGTAGCAATATTGGTTTATTAGTTCTGACAAATATGCTGACATGAGATGTCAAAGGGAAACTATCTTTGCTTTCTGTGAATCTAAAAAAAGAAAGTTAATAAAACTGTCTCCACCTCCATGATCTGTTCTCCCCCTGCCCCTCCCTCAGTGCCCTCAGCCACGGTGGTTCTTGGTGGTGTTTTTAAACTGCTGTTCTATTAGGGGTGAGTGAGTGCCTGAGGACATTTGGCAAGGTGCAGAGATAACTGCTAGTTGTCACAACTAGGGACAAATGCCAAGGGTTTTTTTTCTGGGGGGAGATGAGCAGTAATGCTTACCATCGCACAGTGTCACAGAGGATCTGGCATTATCTGCTATGTGTCAAAAGTACCAAGGCCCTTTTGAATTTAGGGTTTTCTCTTTTCTTTCGGGTTCCTGGCCAGATGTCTTTTGCCCTGTTTTGTTTCCTCCATAGCCCCCTCATCATCTGATGTACTCTTGCTTGTCTAGTCTTCCCCCCAGGAAATGTATCTTCCATCAGGTCTTGGTCATTTGGTTCACTTTTAAATCCCTAGCATCAAGAGCTATACATGACTCATTAAATATTTGCTCATTATAAATATTAGTTGAAGGAATTCAATAATTAAAGGAGTGAACAGTTGGTAAAGATGTAAGCATATGCTAAAAGATAGTGAAAGGATAGTAGACAGAGCACACATTCCTCTGTCTATTCCTTCTTCCTATCCCCAGAAGTTAAGGTTTTTTTTGTCTAGAATTTTCCTCCATTTTCAAACACACACATGAATATGTGCATGTGCACACACACTTTATCTGCCTTTCTTATTTTTTTTAAAAAAACAAGCATAACTGTGTTCAGCTTAATTTTTCCAGTTAATGAATCTTAATATCTTTACATATCAGTGTATGAAATTCTATCTTAATGCTTTTTGACGGCTGCATAATATTTTATTTGTAAAGTTAAGCAAAAAATATTTGCAGTGCTTACAATAGAATCCCGGTGTAATACTTCGTTGTAAAAGTGGATAAGAGCAATAATGTCTCCTAAAGTATAATGTGCTTCCTCAAACAAACAAGAATGCTTATTTAATATCATGCTCTTCAATGCAGTTTCTTATGTTTTACTCCATGTAAAACATGAGCGTGGTGGTATCTGTAGTAACACCTGTAGATTCTATTTGTTTCATTGGCATTACAGGATTACTTCCCAAGTATTTGAATCACTGACCTGATTGAGATATTTATAGAGCCAGTTTGGGGAGAAACTTTGTTACTTTCTTTATATAGTAATTGCTCTCTAAGGTCAAAGATCTATCTAATTTCCCCGGCTCTTATCTGCTGAGTAGAGGCGTGATAGCTAAAGAACAAGTTATGGTGTTCAACTTGACTGTGATTCAGGATCAATTAAACTTTTAATTGCTTCCAGCATACCAGGTTTTTCCTTCTCCCAGTGAAATGACTAATGGGGCAAAGTTGGCAGTAGCTGAGTGAAGATGCTGTAAATTAATGTTGCCATACTAATTTCAAGCTGGCTGACAAAACCCAGCCCTCCAGTCTGCTATTTCTTTCACCTTGGTTGCATTCACAGTTTGTGAATATTAACTTCAGAGTTAGGTTGCAAGGGAACAGTGCTGTCCTCTGCTGACAGTGCTGGGCATTTTGTGAAACTACATTGATTTACAAGATGAATTGTCATCATAAAGAACAGTTGGTCTAAAATAACTGTCCTGCTCCTCTGACCAGACCTCAGCCCAGTGGACTTGACCTATCTTCCCACTTATTAAAAGTGACCAGCCCTTTGTTCAGTTTCCCTCTTTCCTCCTGGAGTCTCTCTCTGACCCTCTTGCAGTTCTGCCACTTTGAGACACTGGTTTCATCCTTTACTTATATTAGTTTTGATGACTTACTTTTGTGTGTGTGTATCTTACCCATCAATGGAGTCCTCCTGGGTAACAGGTTATTCAGAGTCTCAGATAGTAGATACTCTATGAAAACTGCTTATTGACAGCAGTGGTGATAAACATTGATACTGTTGGTGAGATTTGCTTCACTGACTTAGACAGGAAAAACAATTTGATGTCAAGCAAGTGAATTTTGGTTTTCATATTGTAAACTGATCTTTTTTTCTGTTTCAACAATACTTGAGTATCAAGTATTTATATAATATGTAGTTACATAGCTTGAAATGAGATTATAAGCTTGTATGACCTTATACAAGATCATATAAAATCACGGTTGAGGATTTTTTTCCCAAATTAATTATTAGAAGTTTTGCATTCTCACAATATTGTGGTAGCGTTAAGTTTACAAGCTTTTGGAGCATTTACTTTATGTAACTAAATATATGCTGCTTTTGTTATCTACCTTTCCAATAACTGCTTATGTTTACCAGAAAAAAATTTAGTTGTTACAGTTGGCAGTTTTTAATGTTTATAATGATTTTTGAGTTATAAAATACGAAATATTAAAAAATCACTTTCAAATTTAGTAATTATAGAATTCCTGGAAGAGTGTTAATATTTATATTGGAAAAAAAAGGGAAAAAAACCCCAAATGGTGGTATTCATTCATATTCTAACAGGTGGAAAATACTTTTTAAAAATGCAAGCTTTAAAATAATGTATACTTGTTTGGCTTATTTTATTTCTTCAGAGTAATGATTCTTATTTCTTCTGTTTCAGGTTCCTGAGAGTTAAACAATGGGGAGAGATTTGGCCTTGATTCTGCTCCTCCTCTTCCAACATTATGGAGACAGCGATGGAAGCCAAAGACTTGAACATACTCCGTCTATACAGTTTACACATTTCCAGTACAATGTCACTGTGCATGAGAACTCTGCAGCTAAAACCTATGTTGGGCATCCTGTAAAGATGGGTATTTACATTACAAATCCTGTGTGGGATTTAAGGTACAAAATTGTCTCAGGAGACAATGAAAATCTGTTCAAAGCTGAAGAGTACATTCTTGGGGACTTTTGCTTTCTAAGAATAAGGACCAAAGGAGGAAATACAGCTATTCTCAATAGAGAAGTGAAAGACCACTACACATTGATAGTCAAAGCAGTTGAAAAAAACAGTAATGCTGAAGCACGAACAGAGGTCAGGGTGCAAGTGCTGGACACAAATGACTTACGACCACTGTTCTCACCCACCTCATACAGCGTTTCCTTACCCGAAAACACAGCTGTAAGGACCAGTATTGCAAGAGTTAGTGCCACAGATGCAGATATAGGAACCAATGGAGAGTTTTATTACAGTTTTAAAGACCGAACAGACATGTTTGCTATTCACCCAACCAGCGGTGTGGTAGTTTTAACTGGTAGACTTGATTACATAGAGACCCAGCTCTATGAGCTGGAAATCCTTGCTGTGGACCGTGGAATGAAATTGTATGGTAGCAGTGGTATCAGCAGTATGGCCAAGCTAACAGTTCATGTGGAACAGGCCAATGAATGTGCTCCTGTGATAACAGCAGTGACATTATCACCATCAGAACTGGACAAGGACCCAACATTCGCAATTGTCACCGTAGATGACTGTGATCAGGGTGCCAATGGGGAAATAGCTTCTTTAACTATTGTAGCAGGTGACCTTCTTCAACAGTTTAGAACAGTTAGGTCCTTTCCAGGGAGTAAAGAATACAAACTCAAAGCCATTAGTGGTATTGATTGGGACAGTCATCCTTTTGGCTACAATCTGACACTACAGGCTAAAGATAAAGGAACTCCTCCCCAGTTCTCTCCAGTAAAAGTAATTCGTGTGATTTCTCCCCAGTTCAAAGCTGGGCCTGTCAAGTTTGAAAAGGATGTTTACAGAGTAGAAATAAGCGAATTTGCTCCTCCCAACACACCTGTGGTCATGGTAAAAGCCACTCCTAGTTATTCCCATTTGAGGTATGTTTTTAAAAGTACACCTGGAAAAGCCAAGTTCAGTTTAAATCACAACACTGGTCTCATTTCCATTTTAGAACCAATTAAAAGACAGCAGGCATCTCATTTTGAACTTGAAGTGACAACAAATGACAGAAAAGCCTCCACTAAAGTCTTGGTTAAAATCTTAGGTACAAATAGCAATCCACCTGAATTTATTCAGACAGCATACAAAGCATCCTTTGATGAGAATGTGCCCATTGGTACTACAGTCATGACAGTGAGTGCTATAGATCCTGACGAGGGTGAGAATGGATATGTGACCTACAGTATTGCAAATTTAAATCATGTTCCATTTGTGATCGACCATTTCAGTGGTGCTGTGAGTACTTCAGAAAACTTGGACTATGAACTGATGCCTCGGGTTTACACTGTAAGGATTCGGGCATCAGACTGGGGCTTGCCATACCGCCGGGAAGTTGAAGCTCTTCATACAATTACTCTCAATAACTTAAATGACAACACACCCTTATTTGAGAAAGTAAACTGTGAAGGAACAGTTCCCAGAGATCTAGGTGTGGGGGAGCAAATAACTACTGTTTCTGCTATTGATGCCGATGAGCTTCAGTTGGTGCGATATCAGATTGAAGCTGGAAATGAACTAGATTTATTTACCTTAAACCCCAATTCTGGGGTATTGTCATTAAAGCAGTCTCTAATGGATGGCTTGGGTGCAAAGGTATCTTTTCACAGTCTGAGAATCACAGCTACCGATGGAGAAAATTTTGCCACTCCAATATACATCAACATAACTGTGGCTGCCAGCCGCAAGCCAGTAAATTTACAGTGTGAAGAAACTGGTGTTGCCAAAATGCTGGCAGAAAAACTCTTGCAGGCAAATAAGTTACACAGTCAGGATGAGGTCAAGGACATTTTCTTTGATTCTCACTCTGTCAATGCTCATGCCCCACAGTTTAGGAGTACTCTTCCAGTTGGTATTGAGGTAAAGGAAAACCATCCTGTGGGTTCTAGTATGATTTTCATGAATGCTACTGATCTTGACTCTGGCTTCAATGGAAAACTGGTCTATGCTATTTCTGGAGGAAATGAGGATAGTTGCTTCATTATTGACATAGAAACAGGAATGCTAAAAATTTTATCTCCACTTGACCGTGAAACAGCGGACAGATATACCCTAAATATTACTGTGTATGACCTTGGCATACCACAGAAGGCAGCATGGCGTCTTCTAGATATCACAGTTCTGGATACCAATGATAACCCACCTGAGTTTTTACAGGAGCACTATTTTGTTGAAGTGAGTGAAGACAAGGATATCAATAGTGAAATCATCCAGGTTGAAGCCACTGATAAAGATCTAGGTTCCAATGGACATGTGACATACTCTATTCTTACAGACACAGATAAGTTTGCAATTGACAGCATGACTGGTGTTGTTAAAATTGTGCAACCTCTGGATCGTGAATTACAGCCTGTGCATTACCTCAAGATTGAAGCCAGGGACCAAGCCAAAGAAGAACCCCAGTTGTTTTCCACTGTACTTTTGAAAATATCACTAGAAGATGTTAATGACAACCCACCTAGGTTTGTTCCACCTAATTACCGTGTGAAAGTTCGAGAGGATCTGCCAGAAGGAACCATAATCATGTGGTTAGAAGCCTATGATCCTGATTTAGGTCAGTCTAGTCAAGTGAGATACAGTCTTATGGACCATGGAGAAGGAAACTTTGACGTGGATAAACTCAGTGGAGCAGTTAGGATTGTACACCAGTTGGACTTTGAGAAGAAGCAAATATATAATCTTACAGTGAGGGCCAAAGACAAAGGGAAGCCAGTTTCTCTGTCTTCCACTTGCTATGTGGAAGTTGAGGTAATTGATGTGAATGAGAACTTACATGCACCAGTGTTTGCTAGCTTTGTGGAAAAAGGTATAGTGAAAGAAGATGTTCCAATTGGTTCATCAGTAATGACAGTGTCAGCTCATGATGAAGACACTGGAAGAGACGGGGAGATCCGATATTCCATTAGAGATGGATCTGGTGTTGGTGTTTTTAGGATAGATGAAGAAACAGGTAAGCATGTTTTATTGCTTGTTTGATATTCCCTATCTCTATTGTTTTCACTCTGACTTATAGGAGGGACTTCCTTCAAAAGTGAGTACCAGTTGATCTGTGTTAGGGCTCAGTATAGAAGTGCATGTGTATGTGTTTTTTGTCCTATTGCTGTTATGTAAATATGCTTATGCATAGTAAGTCATGAAGATGGAACCATAGGAGCCCAAATGATTAAGTGGGCATAAGATTAGTGAAAGAAAATTGAAATTGTTACTGATATTGATCTCTAAGTTTATACTCTATTATCAAAAACTTCACAGTGGTTTTATTAACTTTCAGAACCCCTCTGAAGTGTTTCAAGCTAGTAAGCTTGCAGGCTCATACTTAGATCAGCCAGCACCATTTGGCATGCCATCCAGAAGTTACTGCACACCTGCAAAATTATACAGTGCACCCAGAGAAGATGATGTGCTAAAACTTCTATAATATGCTCTGCTTCACCTATATTACAGGTTTTGTTTGAGAGGCTGAGGTAGGGTTGAGGAATTTTGACCTGGAAAAGCTTCACTGGCTCAGAACCCTGCTTCTTTCAGTTGTTAACTTAGGGTCTTGGACAAGTGAAACACTTCTTGAAACTAACTGTTTTCATCTACAAGAAGGAGACACTCAAAATTACTACAAGATTTATGTGAGGATATGGAGAAGTAACACGGGAACTCTCCTAGCATGTGTAAGATTTATTGCTGTGTGTTTGCAAATGGTAGCAATGCTTTATTATGATACTCTTTTTACCTGGAATAAGTTTCTAAAACTGAATTTCCAAGATAGTCAATTCTTGTGAGTGTGTAGTGTTGTGTACTTTCTGTATCCCTTACTCTAGCTGCACAGGTGTTTTACTTGTATGTCAGTCTCCCTAATGGGGTGTGATCACCCTTAAATGCAGACTTTTAGGTAATGCATTTTCTATCTTCAGCATGCAGCAAAAAGAGCCTGAAACATCAAAGCTGGCTCAGTAATACAACAACAAAAAAATTCTTTAGTCACATCCACCTAGTTCCTACATCTGTTGGTTTAGATGTTTATAAAAATACATAACACATGAAAAGTTATATTTTTAACTTGTCTTAGAAACAGTTATTTGGAGGCTATAGGTTTTTGTGGTGTGTTTATTAATTTAAGAAACTCCTTTTTAAATTATATGCTATTATATCTATATGTTAGATAGAATATATTCTTATTCACTTAATTCAGGAGAAAATAGCATAATCAATAGCATTTGGTTATCACTCATCTGAAGAGTAGAATATCTTTGGTCATATTGTCCAATATAAATTAGAATTTGCAGTATCAACATAGAAAAATTCCAAAAAGCTAAAGCTGAAACTATGATGTGTTATTGTAACATTCCTAAGAACAGTTATCTTCTCAAAGTACGTTTCAAAGCCTATAAAGACTGTTATGTTAAAATTGAGTCAGAAAATAGAATCTGAATCTTAATTTATATTCTTTTTGTGACTTAAATTATATGAACCCTGCCATTAACTTTTTTCCTTTCAAGTGAAAAGAATATTTTTATTGTTGCTTTTTAAAGAATCATTTAGAAACTAGTATTTTTCACCTGTAAATGTAAGGAATTGGGTTACTCTTATTACAAAGAAAAAAAAACCAGAACAAAAAAGGAAACCAGCAGGCAAGCCAGGCGACCTCCTGGAATAGATCTACAGTAGCTTTGAGAGTTGAAAGGCTATGCCAGACGTTTCCAGTGGTGATTCAGTGGGAGGGTGGAGGAGGTGTTGAGATTTTGGGTACTGTGGTTGGTAAGTTATAAGAGGCTTTACGCATTTGTATAAATAGTGATTATTAAAGCTGAGAGAGAAGCTGGAAATTTCCAGATCATTTTTTCTGTGGCCTTTGCTTTACAGAGCAAAATGCTGAGTATATAATACATTTAGGTTTATATATATGCTTTTTAAAAGTGAATAAGTGATAAAATACTTACATTCTAGACTGATATGCATTACAAATGTGTTTTCGGCAGGACAATTGGTATCATAGAATTTCTTTAGGAAAAATCAGTATTAGTTTTATGCATATAAATGCTAAAACTAGGCAAGCTATAATTTTTAGGGCAGTGTGGAAATGTGGAGCAAGAACTGTCCAATGAAGAAAAGTAGGGTGTTTTGGGAATGCCAGTGGAAACTAATTGCACAAAAGGCAGCACTAAAAACTTAACATGATTTGGCATTGGCCTAGCATTAGCACTTTCTTGGAACTTACCTTTCTGCTTGTTGCCCATTTCCACTGGGGTCTTACTTTCTCTAATGGTGATTCATTTAATGGGCTAACTCATTTGGGCCTCTGCAGCACCACTTTGGCCCTAGAGACCAAGAACCCATCCACGGAACTACTTGCTTCTTGCCTTTGGCTTTAAGCTACTTGTGTTGTTGTGGTGGTATAACTTTCAGCATCTTCAAATACATGTATTTTTTTATGTACTTTTCACAGACCAGAGAACATATTTTTAAGATTCTTCCTCCTCTTCTATTTAAATTGGCTTAAATTTGAAACATTACCAAAAGTAGTTTTTTTTGTTTTTTTTTTTAATTCTGTGAATTATCTAAAATTTGTCACCAAATGTAAAGTCCTATTAGCCCTGGATTTTATACTTATTTTGGTGATTGACTCTGCAGGGAGGTATGATGTAATTGTATTGTGGGGATCACCATTATTTGCTCATCTGACAATCTCTCGCTGCCGTGCTTTTTGGGAAAGTTTTCTGGGTATTAGTGAACTTCTGTGAGAAATCCACGCCTACATTATGGCTCATCCATTTGAGGTTTGGGAGCTCATGGTATTATGTGAAAAATTATTTGGAAAGTCAGTCTTGTTTGAGTACCAAACTCCAGAGCTCTAATTAAGCTTCCTTAAATTTCTCTTCTTAAATTCTACGGTGAGGATTCTAAAGTAGATTTAACAGCAGTGTTGAGTGGAGTATCTTTGAAGCACGTATCACATTTAAGTTTTGGCTGGCTGGTACTATACTTCTTAGCATACTTTGTTTTTTACTGAAGTATGTTCTTGGTAGCTTCATTGTAAGCCTCAAAAGTAAGCAGGAAAGAATATTGAGCATCCCTTCTATACATTTGTAGAATAAGTTCTGTCTGGTCTTCCTGGCTGATGGGTGCCCATCACAACTTGAGGACCAAGAATTTGCTTCTTTTTGTTAGTTTTAAAAACTAAGGTAGCATCTGGAAAAATATTTAGTTGAAAGATTGTTTTTCTGATTGTTAATGGACACTTGTGTTGAAGCGCTATTTAGTTGAGTCTCTTCCCCCGTGTGTGGTAATGGCATGACCATAGGTATGTTTTCCCTCAATCTGAAGTAGTTTGGTTCAGTGTTCGTTAGTTTAATTCAACCCAGTGAGACATTTCCCTCTGACCCTTACTACTTGGGGAGGCCATGTTTTTCATTAAGATAAGAGCAAATTTTAAAACTTATTAATGCTTTATTACTCTTAGAAACCAAGTTATTGTTTCAGGATTTGAATTTACCTACTGTATGTTTCCCTGGAAAGATGTAGAACGAGTTGTCATGGAAGTACTGCTGTTGTGACCAGATAAATCACCATTCATGGAGGGAAAATGAGGACTGCATTTTTCTTAACAGATAATGGCTGCATTCTTTTTATGGGGATGATTTAGTGGCCTTTCTTAGGTGGATGCTGAGTGAGTGTATTTGTGTAGTGGAAACAGAAGGGAATTAATTCCAGTCCAAACAGCTTCAGTCTGCAGAATGCTGAATATTTTAATATTTTTTTAGTTATTCATTTGAGTTTTAACAACTGTACTTTCCTAACTTAAAGTAGGATATTCTGCATACATTCTAAGACTTATGTTTTTTTTCCTACAGCCTGTTCCCTCATGACAGGAAATAGAATGTAGAGGGTAGTAATGGGCCATGTTTCATCACTGTAGCTCTTAGGACTGTGGCCACCGTGGTGGGAGCAGTTCCCTCTATTGGAACTGGGTCTAGAATTCCTGGCAGCCTGAACTTAGATACTGGTGGGAGGCCTGTCAGGGAGTTGAGAAATTTGCTGGTGAAAGGGCTTTTGTACGGCTGTCTCCTCCCTTAAGTGGCAGCAGCTGCTGTCCTCCTCTCTTTTTGTTCTTCGAGGAAAGTTTGCGAGAAAAGAAACTCACTTCCTACCCACAGTGAGATTGAAAGTCAGGCTCTGGCAGAAATGATTTTACGAAACTGTGCTGTTGCTGTGTTGGGGAGCAAAAGTCCACTCTTGGTGTATGTGATTGTGAGTCAGGCAGGGCATGGCAATGATGTGTGCCAGGGAAAGGATCCTTCACTGAAGCAGGAGGAGTTTTAAGGTGAAAGTAGAATCTAGTTAGAAATCCTAAGGGAATTCCATTTTGTTTTGAAAGAAAACAAGATCATCTTTTCTTTAGTTATTTACATGGTATTTTGCTTTAAAGTTGATGCTTTAATTACTGAGTGAATATAAATGTTTTCTGGAGTGGGGTTGGAGTATAAAACTGAGTTGTTACTCAAGACCATATTATGTTGGAAAGCAGAACACTGGTGGTGTTGTGAAGTGCTCTTCCATAATTCCAAATGTGTAGGAGCCAGGTCTTGGAGGGTAGGGTAGAATCAGTTAAGTTAAAACAGGGTCCTTGGCCCATGCTTTTGGTAGTAAAGACAATAATGATGGTGAGCAGCAGTACAACAGTAAACTCCAGACACTTGAGATATCGCCATCAGGGACTGTTGAATTATATACTGCATCAACTTACTTTAGTTATCACAGCTTCCAGATAAATACTGTTATTTTTGTTTCATACAAGGAAACTTAAATTTTATTACTAAGTAGTAGAACTACTTTTTATTGCCTCTCACTCTTTCACGAATAATGTAGAGATGCTCTAAGAAAGCCCTTTTGAAAACTCCTAGATGAGTGGGACTCTGGGTTAGGCTGGTTGGATGCTTGAATTGTGTATTTAAGGCTTGG